ACTAAGAGACGACAGAAAGAAACCTTGGGGTAGAAACCTCAAAAGTGTTTCTTCCAGACTTTTTTCTCCGGGGGGGGGGGGGGCACTTTAAACTTTGGGGGGGGGGCGGTAGACTTTCTTCGGGGGGCGGACACTGTTAAAAGTATATATTTTCTATATAAATTATATATATTTCGTTCGGGGGGGTAGATCTTTTTCGGGGGGGGGGGGGGCTAAGCCCCCCCCGAAGAGATGCTTGGAAGAAACTCTGCACCTCAGCACCGAACCAGTTCTGTTTATTTCACCTCCTGACGCGAACTCAGATATTTCAACCACCAATTGTATAATCATGGTGTTATACAGATATACTGTTTTTACCTCAGCATCGAAGTCACGACACATCAACACTTAATACGTCACAACATCAAATCAAACACTCGGTTAAAAATAATGTAACTATACACAAAGTCACGGTGCATTCATTTACGTTTCTTATATTGAAATTTTTCTTGCTTCTCATCACTTACTTTGATTTTAATACACGTTTTTATATACTTAAACTATTTTAATCATATTAAACTACATCAATACTTTTGTTCACTTATAAAATAATTGATTGAACTTTGGCCTAGTGAATGAGACAAAAAAAGCTAGGTGTAAATGTTCGATACAGGCTTATCGAGTAGTCAAGCTACTTAAAATCTTAAACGTGTTACGTAGTGATTGATCGATCGAATGTCTGCATCAATATTGAACAGCTAGGCGAATCGATGAATGGATTTGTTTAAAGGTTGTTGAAAAAATTTTCGATTTATTCCATACTACGGTTAAGTGGAAACGTTGATATTAAGTACCGTTGATTATACAAATTAAATTTAACTAGTTACTTAATTTTACCTTGTAAATCCAGCAATCCTGTTAAATTTATTTTAAGCTTAATATCTACTTGAATCGGAACCTTAGTTATTTCTCAATACCTGGGTATGCGTCCATTTACAGATAAAACATTCTAATATTTACATTCGAATGTTTTTTTTTTTTTTTTTTTTTTTTACAATTACTAACAAGGTAATAATTTTAATTTAAAGAATGTAATACTTACTAGTAAAGTAAGTGAGTAAAGTTCCCTTTCAAACCTGACGGTCTATAGGGCAAGTGAAGTTGAGGTCACTTGTTTCTGTGACCTCGGTAAATGAAGGGATTATGTGGTCAGCATTTTGCCCAGACGCCTTTACTTACTCTAACGTCAGAGCTTGTGGACGGTCTACTGACTTGAACCCGGATTCGAACTCGAGACTTACGGGTTATCAGTCCAGCTCTCTACCTCTAAGCCACTCCGCCCATAAAACATACTAGTATGTACATAATTTTTTTTTTATTGAAACATCACCACTTATTACATCTTTAAATTGTAATATTTTAATTACCATTTTCTTTCCAGTGATTGCAATAATAATCTGCGTGGCGGTGTGGGGGGCCATGCAGTACCAAGCGGACAACCCCTTCAACAAACTGGGGTACTCCTTCATCCTCAGCATTGTCGGGGGGTGTGTCATCACTATCGGAGGGGTTCTGGGTTACCTGACCCTGAAGAGGGTCCCATCGTAAAGCCTAATCCCCCAGAGATCATAGGGTTTATGGGATGTATCATTCTAAAGAGAGCCCCATCGTAAATTATGACACTGACGATCAAATGAGATTATGTGATACAGATTTATATTTTTCCAAAGATATTAATTGACTTAATTAGCTTTAATTGAATGGAACCCAGATAGATGAACCAGGAAACTTTTCATTAATCCAGTTTTATTTTTGGACGTTATGATGTTAATCATCGAACTTATACTTAAGTACACAACATTACTTTCCAAACCATACAGTTTGATTGATACATACTTTGCACAACATAATTATTGTAATTAACGAGTTCAGGTACACTCGACTATAAAACGCCCTTTGAAAAAAGAAATCATAGAGTAAACATTAGTATCAGGTAACAGCAGGAAATGTGGTAGTGAATAAATTAGTTTTTATAGTACAAAGTATTTGTGATTACAAGAGTTGCAATATCAAGTAGCTACGAATGTTAGTGAAAAAAATCCCGTAATGTATTCAGTGAAAATGGAATCAGAGTACATGTAAGTAGAGTACGAGTAAGTAGCGCAAATGTAATCAGCGTAAATGTAAGCAGAATAAATTTAAGCACAGAAAATGTAATCGCAGTACTTGTAAGCACAGTAAATGTGAGCACAGTGATGTAAGCAGAATGAACGTAAGAAGATTAAATATACGCACAGTAAATGTAATCAGAGTAATATACGTTGAATACGTGTAAGTAAATGTAAGTAGAGTAGTTGTAATCAGAGTAAATGTAACTAGAGTAAATGTAAGTAGCGTAAATGTACGTAGAGCAAATGTAAGCAGAATGAATATAAGTAGTGTAAATGTAATCAGAGTAATATCTGTAAGTAGAGTTAAGCACAATAAATATAATCATAGTAATGTAAGTAGAATACATGTAAGAAGAGTAAATGTAAGCACAGTAAATATAATAAGCGTAAATGTACGTAGAATAAATGTAAGCAGAATAAATATAAGAAGAGAAAATGTAAGAAAAGAAAACGCAATCACATTAATTGTAAGCACAGTATAATTTTAACAAACAAACCACATAAATAAGTGCTGACTGAGCCCTCGGGTTGAACTGAATGTCACAATTATTAATGCCATTCTGTAAACGATTTTATATTTTGGCTTGTTATATTTTAATATGTATTTGCCTCTATGAAGACATTATTTTCAAGTCTGTAATAAGTCTGACTATCCTTGTATTATTTCATTGATCAAACTTTCCATCCCCTTTTATAATGGACTCTACCTGCTGAGTGGTCGAGTAATAGGGCACTCGACAGCTAGCACGTAGGTGTCTCGAGTTCGAATCTCGTATTGCTTAGTCCACCCAGCTTGATGGATACAAGTCTCACGTTATAAAGCGGCTGGACATACTGCTGACCCCACAATGCCTTCATATGCCAAGGTCAAGACACACGTCAACTCTACTTCATCTGCCCTATGGATCCTTAGGTCTGAAAGAGCAACTTTACTTAATCCTAAGTGGATAATATGAGTATGTAACACATTGAAAGTAAAATTTAACTCAACGCTAAATTCAATGTGAATGGTTGTGCATGAAAATAAACACTTAGTTTACAACACACATTTTCAAACTCCCTGTTAGTCTTTTCCTCATTATGTATTGCACATCTTTTGTATGATTAAGTGCTTTAAATAACAACATGCGTTTTAAAAGGTAAGAAACTTGTACAATTATTTTTTTGTAATAAAAAAAATCCGATTATCTCCCTTCACAAACAATGTATATAGTTATGATAACTACTTTTTCACATTCCAAAGTCTTGATAACATTATGATATTTTTATTGAAATAAATACATTTTTTACGAATCATATTGTCTACATCAATTGTTTCATATAAATAGGCTACATGTGCACTTAATTAAAATCTATTTATCCCGGTTTAATTTGACTTCATTATATAAAATCGAGTTAAAACTAATTCACATGTGTTATAGAACAATGTGTTGTATAATAAAATATCGTTTTTATGAAGCATTTTTTTTATTATATTAGCTTATTTTTATATTGCTGTTTCAATTCAACACGCCATTCTTATCTAACACTCCCTATAACATTTTGAGTACAAATTTAAAAAAAAAAAAAAAAAATAAAAGAACTTTGCATTCACTCGCTATTACAAAAAATAGGCAGCCTTTTTTTTTAGTCAGTTCTTTGCACTGAATTAATAACTGTAATAGTTGATCGAAGCAGGGTAGAAAAAGAATTACCTGTTCCCGTATGTAACTAATTTTGTAGCTTATTGTGTTACGTGTACTCACAAATATTGTTAATTTTAGTGTTAAATAGTTGATGAAAACTAAGGCGTGTACGCCTGCATTTTTCATATTAAACATGTCAGATTGTTGTTGATATAGTTCGTTTTTTTTTTGTTTTTAGGAAGAAGATATTCTTTTTAAGACTCTTCAGAGTTAGTTACAGATAAATAAGTTTGTTGGTAATTTCAGTGAAAACGTGCTACTTTATGGTTAACATAGAGTAGATATAATATTACTAAATATTTTCATTAAATGTAAGCGACAAGCTGGCTGAGACGATATATGAACGTGTTAGACTACTACGTGGATAAAACAAATGATAATCTCGCTTCTTGTGTCCTGATTTGTTTCTTGTATATTACATTGCATATTACCACCATGCTTTTTAAATAAAAGCAAGCATATTGCATCAAAGCGGGGTGGAATCAAGGATTTAATACTATCTGAAGACTACAGGGTATAAACCATATGTGTCACAGTTTTTTATGTTTGAAAAAAAAAACAGATTTTGTGTTTGAGATCAATTGTTGTTCCATTGTAGCATGATTTGATTTTAAGATCCTAAATATTGAGAGAATATTTGTGGTTTTACGCTTTCATATTTGTATATAGATATAAATATGATGGGGCGGCGTGGCCTAAGCAATAGATATCTAGGCTGCTAACCGGTAAGTCTCAAGTTCGAATCCGGGTACAAGTCAGTAGAACGTCATTGAGTTCACCCAGTTATGATGGGCACCTAACTGGTGTTATGGAAAGTCTAAGCGTCTTGGCAAAGTGCTGACCACACTTTCCCTTCATATTCCGAGGTCAGGAAACATATGGCACTAACTCAAAGAATTGAAAAAAGAGGAAATCTGTGGTTCTTAATTCCGTGTGGACTTAATCTAAGCTCCATGTCTCTTTGGTAGTCATCACGTTTTTAGCAACAGCAAGTTTTGATTTACAAGAAAGTAGAACTTACGATCATGTGTCACTTACAATCAACTTTAATTAACATCAGAATGAAAATACAGACACCACGCTAATTATTTCAGATAAAGAAAAAAAAAATAACTATCCATTCAACTTATTACAACTTTATTTAAATCGTGAGTTTGATACTGCGAGTTGATACATTGCGATATATGCATTATTCCTTTATAATCAGTTTTTAATTTATCTGTTTAAAGGGATTCAGCCATTACCAACTGTAAAATAAATCTATACAGCAACATTCCTCCCTTTGTTAGATTAATGATACACCCGAGTCTTAAAGTTCTCATAAGATTTCAATCAACATCTCCCCAACAACGATACTATCCAACAAGCTAAACATATATTTTTGTAAGGCTTGACGTATTACATTAAAACAAATTATAATCTTTCAGTTCTTTTCTTTATTTCTTTGGGAGACAGTCTACTTTTTTGAACCTGAAAAAGGTGAATAAATATATATTAATAAATTTTTTTTATAATATCATGCTTTTTTGCACTAGAAATAAACTTATTTATTTAAATTAATTATGTTGCACTGCTATTTTTATAGCTCTTTTTAAAAATCACCAGACGCTTATAATATTTAATCAGGGTATTCAATATATGTATATGTTTGATATTTGTGTGTGTATCTGTGTGTTGCTTGTGTATGTATTTGTGTAAAAAAGTAAAATTTAACCTTTTACACAGCAGAACTGATATCAATACACAAACTGTACAGCAGATGACCAGCAGTAAAATAAATGGACTGTTTGCAAGGAAGTCACCGGTATTTTGTTTCGTGCAACTGATCAACGTCTTACGATTGGCGCACCTGGTAAGATATTTTTTAAAATAAAAATCTGGATTGGTTTGGTATTACCCGTTTTTTCGGCATACACAAATTAGACTCATTAGCTCAAAGATACAATGTATATTGATTTAAAGAATCTTACGTGACAAAATATTGATTTTAGATACATATTTATATATTACACATGTAACCGGCAATTTAAAAAACAGGCATTTTTTTAGAATACCTAGTCAATGTAAATAATGCCAGAAATGGGTGGTCAAAGTATTAAATACCACTAATTTCTATCATATTTTATACATTTCCTAGCCATTGTATAGAGTAGCATGTAACAAAGAGGCAGAGTGTAGAATATGCCTTCTCATCATGGCATTCTGCTATGTTTGTTAGTGTGAGTGTTAGGGAGAAGATGGGGCAACAAGTAGTAACAACTCGGATTTCTTTGTTCTCCCAATAAAGATTTCCTGATGTTGATTTTGTATTTTTTATTTCATTTGTTTATTGTTTGTTACTAAAATCTTTTAAAATTATGGCATTTCACACTTTGCAAGAGCACTTGATGTCATTATTTATAAGCCTAGTTTTAGAATTGTTATATAAAATAAGCAAAGATGTATTGAAATTATAGATAACGCCATATAGGGTGTAAGAGTAAGCCATGTAAGGAGTAGGTCATACACAAAGTGGGGCATACACAGATAGGGCCATACAAAGAGTGGGCCATACAAAGTGTGGGCCATACACATAGTGGGCCATACATAGAGAGGGCCATACACATAGTGGGCCATACATAGAGAGGGCCATACAAAGAGTGGGCTATACAAAGTGTGGGGCATACACATAGTGGGCCATACAAAGAATGGGCCATGCAACGATTGAGTCATACAAAGAGAAGCCATACGTTTTACGTGTATACAATGTGCAGTAGCCATACAAAAACACCACATGCCATCACCTGCTACAAGGTCCTGATGCCTTCTCCGTCTGACAGTGTTTTGAACACATGTTTTCCAATGAACATTTTTCCTGCATCTCCTTCGTCACGTTCTCTATAGCTGGAGTAGAAGATATGTAAACAAGTTTCGTGTGGGGATTCAAGCATTGGGTAACAAAAAGCACGTGTATTCTAGCTTTAAGGTCTCGAGTTCGAATCCTGCGCTGATTTGCAGCAATCAGATGTGTACTTGGGGTCGGCGTGGTCGAGTAGGTAAAGCTCTTGGTTGCTAAATCGAAAAGTCTCGAGTTCGAACCCTCGGGCAGATGAGGCTCGTTAGCTAGGGACAGCCACTTTCTAGGAGAGACAAATCCAAAATCAAACAACTGTTGCCTTGTAGTTTGTTCTTGGTTTGACAAAGGCTATGGAAGCAAATCCAAAAAGAAAAGCAGGCTGAAATCGTAGTCAATGGCCTCAATGGCGCATAACCAGTTGATACGTATCCTTGATTTGTGTTGGAGGCGTGGTCGAGTCGGCAAAAGCTCAAGGTTGATAAATTCGAAAAAGTCTCCAGTTCAAACCCTCTGGCAGATAAAGCTCGATCTCTTCCAACACTAAAAATTAATAACGACGAAGAAAAAGATGTGTACTTTAACTGCGTTGTATCGTCAAAATGACACAGTAGTCATTCCACAACCCAGTTGTAAGTCTAGATGCGAGAAAGTGATGAACTATACTTCAGTTGTATTATTAACTATTTGGTCTAAAAGTATACAGTCGACAAAACCTTTAAATGTTGAGATCACTAAACTGGTTTTGCAATTTTAATAAATTAATCACTGTTAAAATTCTCCATTTTATCTTTGGAATAGTTTTCCAATGACTCATTTAACTTAAACACACGTAATCTCTCTATATATATAAAGCAATGTATGTGTGTGTGTGTGTGTGTCTGTGTGTGTGTCTTTTATGCATTACCACACCACTTATCACATCGCCGTCGAACTTTGGGAAGTTGTTGTGAATATTCCTGGGGAAGTTTCTGCGGAAAAAAATATTTCAAATTCGCAGGGGTGGCGCCCCGGCAGGGCGCGATTTGTTTTTTCTCTATATACGGTATATAAAAATAAAAGTCGATTTTAGTTTGACAGCGCTCACCCTATAGCCATGAGACTTTAGGGAGTTGATTAGAACACTCTAGCGAAGTGTTCTGTAAAAAAAAATCATTTTTAATTTCGCAAGGGCGGCGCCACGTGAGGGTGCGATTTTTCTCTATATACGGTATATAAAAATAAAAGTCGATTTTGGTGTGACACCGTTATCCGATAGCCATGAGACTTCGAGGGAGTTGATTAGAACAATTCAGGGAAGGGTTCTGTAAAAAAATCCTTTTTTTAAATTTCGCAAGGGCGGCGCCACGGGAGGCTGTGATTTTTCTCTATATACAGTTTATAAAAATAAAAGTCTATTTCGGTTTCACACCGTTCATCCGTGTACCATGAAACTTTGGGGAGATGATTAGATCACTCAATGGTAGGGTTCTGCAAAAAAATATTGTTTAATATTGCAAGAGCGGCGCCCTCCGGGGGGGGGGGGGGACGATTTTTTTCCTCTATACAAGGTATATAAAAAATAAAAATCGGATGCGGTTCATCCGAGTGCCATGAAACTTTAGGGAGTAGATGAGAATACTCCCGAGAATATTTTTGCGAAAAAGAAAACTAAAGTTTCTTATGGGCGGCGCCATATTTGGTACAACTTTCGTCAATACACGGTTTGGCGCCCTGAGTATTATAGTCAATAAAATAAAGATGCATTCATAATTTCTGATTTCAATATTGTAAAACAGCTTCAACTGAAAGAAGATATGTCCTGGGTATTTATGCGATACTTCACATGGGATATTAATGTTTTCGTTTTAACATAGCTTCTCAAATCTTTACCAACCCTTAACCATCTAGTAACACTAGCTGTTTCCAAACAAATAAATCCACTCTATTTATCTTTACATTACCATTACCCCATTCATAACGGTACCACTGTCACTCACTTAACACTAATTACCTGAAGCGACGGTTGTTACGTAAGTCTCATTAAGATGATGAAGATCAATACTTGGGATAGTCTCAAGATATGACACGACCCTCTCCAAGTCAGTCTTTAGCTTTGTTGTGTCTATGATAAACCCCGTTGATAGGCTCGGCTGTAGGATAACGTTGTAGTCTATCAAGGTGCTCCCGGGTCTAAGATTTAAGCAATAAAGATTTGAGATTTTTAGGAGGCCAAATAAAGAATGAAAACAGAATATACTTGAAATATATGTATACATTACACACAGCCTTAACCATATGGAATTGTACCAGCGTTTCCTCAGGCATCTCCCTGAGCGAAATAGAATTTATATAGAAAATATATACTTTTAGCAGTGTCCCCCCCCCCTCGGAAATATCAAGTGCCCCCACCCCCCGGAGAAAAAAGTCTGGAAAAAACACGGAATTGAACTGCGTGGCCTAGGGGTAGAACACTAGACTGCTAATCCAAAAGTCTCGAGTTCGAATCCGGGTTCAGGTTAATATAACGTCCATGAGTCCACGTTAGGCATAGTGCTGACCACTTTATACCTTCCTATGCCGAAGTCAATGAAACAGGTGAAATCTATTTCAGCTGCTCATGGAACGACACTTTCGAAAGCTGAATTTTTAACTATGTGTATACTTTACAAACGCTTTTAACCGTCATCATTTTAAAAACTGTATGTAAAGTTTTCAACATTTTCTTTAACAAATACATGCTTCTACTGTATTCTAAATTAGACAATTTTTCAACTATTGTTCTGTTTATTAATAATAAAAAATATTCCTTCTCCTTATCATATTTGACCTCTAATTCTAGTCCTAACGTCATAAGCTATTCACGTTTAGTAATATACGTGTTAACATTAAGTGGCATGAATAATTTCCACGCATTTACATCCGTTTGTTTTCACCTGGAATATTCCCCCCCCCCCACCACCATTCCACACCCAGTGAAAATACCGTAGGACAATAGGACAATCCCTAGTTTCTTACACATTAAAAAAAAAAAAACAAAAAAAAAAAAAAAAAAAAAACACACTAGCATTTTAAACAAACTACGGCCTATATTCGAAATTATTTTTACCTATGTTATCAATGGCTAATTTTCAAGTACGCGTCAAAACTAGGGAAAGTGACAGGTAAAGTGTCCTTGGATTAATTTACGGCAGGTAATATTAAAAAAAAAATCTATAACAGGCCATATATCTGATATCTGTATAATAATATCATGTACATTCTTATCCCCTTCTGACACGGCGTACACATTTGTACACATGACATTTGACCGTATTGTTTCCACCGTATAAATAGGTATCTTGACAATGTGTATTCGTGAAAATCTTTCCGATATTGTAAGCATGAACTTTTTGTTACGTCCTTTTTTACCACGCGAAATAAAGCTCAATCTATCAAGTTATTAAGTCATCCTAAAGTGATGGTGTTGATGACTGCAGTCAGGTGAAGTAGTTGGTTAACAGTGTTTCATTCAGACTTTTTTCTCCGGGGGTAGGGGGCACTTAATTTTTTTTAAGGGGGGGGGGGGAGGGAAGGACACTACATTTTCCGGGGGTGGTGGTTGATGCGGACACTGATAAAAGTATATGTTTTCTATATAAATTCCATTACTTTCGGGGGTGGGGCGGTTTACTTTCGCCCACCACCCCCACCCCCACCCCGGACTCGCGAGGGGAGGGGTGCCTAACCTGTACATACATTAACCCTAACCTGTATGGGGACGTACAATCAAACACACTAAGGACTATTCTAATTACTGCAAGTATTCTCTATTTAAACTATAATTACACAATATAATAGTATGGACATAACTACAATTAAAAAATTAAAACGATATTCAAATCCCAGATCTCTACCTTTGTTAATTCCATTTATAACAGGGGCCATAATTGAGGTCTTATCGTAAGGAGTTACAAGCTGTAAATCTTATTTGTTTACTTATGGTAAACCTACCTGAAACCTAAAATCTCAATCCTCTTGAAATCTGTCACGTTTTCGTAGGCTGAGCTTAACTGTAGTAGGAGTTAGACAAACGAATAATTGATATTCGATTGCAAGTTATACTTCATTGTTATACACACATGCAGAGGCGTAGCGAGAGGGGGGCAGGGGTGCAGACCGCACCGGGTGACACCAAGGCAAAAAATAGCAAAATATATACAGAAAAATTATAATTTCACTTAATTAAATGATTAATTAGAGTGAATTAAATAGTTTTTAAGAGCAAAGTGGACAAATCCCGATACGGGGGGAGTGTGGGGGGGGGGGGCGGGGGGACACCATGAGGTGAAGAACCGGGTGCCACTCGACCTCGCTATGCCACTGCACACCTTTTTAAGACTTGAAATATTTTAGTTCATTAATCTGCGTTGTTATTCGTTAAGGTTATAACTTACAATTACATGTTAAGCTTAATTTATGTTTTATTTTTTAAATAAATGTGAAATCCATTTTTTTAGAAATGTGAAATCCACATTACCACACACACGATTTGAAAAGAATTTAATCAACATTATTTTTTTTTTAAATCGTCTGTTACCATTTGCACCAAACTGCTACCCTTCTATTCACATGTTTCTCTAATCAAGTATCCATTACTCCTTCCACTCACCAATCAATCACTATATCCTCTCTTTTATCCAGTACTCCATCTTCTTCTTCTTCTTCTTCGTTCTTAATTTTTAGTGTTGGAAGGGATCGAGCCTTATCTGCCAGAGTGTTTGAACTCGAGACTTTTTTCGAATTGATCAACCATGAACTTTGCCGACTCGACCATGCTTCCATCACAATTAAGGATTACGTGTCAACTGGTTATGCGCCATTGAGGCAATTGACTCCGATTTCAGCCTGCTTTTCTTTATGGATTTGCTTCCATAGCCTTTGTCCAACCAAGAACAAACTACAAGGCAGCAGTTGTTTGATTTTGGAGTTGTCTCTCCTAGAAAAGTGGCTGTCCCCAGCTAACGAGCCTCATCTGCCCGAGAGTACTCCATCAATTCAAGAAATTATTCATATCCTTTTAATAACCAAAACTTAAATCAACCAAGTTTCCACCATTGTATCCATTCGAGTATCAACCACTACATCCACTCGAGTATGCACCACTCTATCCAAGCAATTAGCCACATATCCACTTAAGTTTCCATCACTCTATCCACTGAAGCATCCATCACTATAGCCACTCAATTATCCACCATTCTATCCACTCGAGTATCAACATATCCACTCAAGTATCCACCACTTATTCACTCATTTGTCCACCACTATATCCACTGAAGTATCCACCACTATATCCGCTCAAAGAAATACCATACGCACTCAAGTATCCTCGACTGTATAATCCTCACTCCACCCCCTCCCACACCCATTAATCCACTAAATAATTTAACTCTACAGGCAACTAATTAAACAACTAAATATCACCTGATCCGAGTATCTCCGTGCCGCTTCGGTAAACTCCGGAGATTTGCTGTCACTCAACCGCTCAACAAAATCATCGCCTGATTTCAACTCAAAATTCAGCTTCAGTTCACCATCTTCTAAAATACATCAATATAATTATTATTGTGTATATAAGGTAATGTTTTTTATTGAATTATTCTCTTAAAAGACGATAGTGTTTCGGTAAACTATGCGAAATTTAAAATTTTAACAGGTGAGTTAGTGTTTACGGGACAGAGTGGTATAGCGGTAGAGAGCTGTGCTGCTAAGTCCCGAGTTCGAATCCGGGTTCATGTCAAGTAGACCGTCCCTGAGTCCACCAAACTCTGATGGATACCTAACTCACGTTAGGGAAAGTAAAGGCGGCTGGGCATAGTGCTGGCCACACTATCTCTTCATATGCCGAGGTCCCAGATACTTCACTTGCCCTATAGACCGTCAGGTTTGAAAAGGGAAATTTAAGTTAGTGTTTATTTTTTTTAAATCGTAGTTAATCTTAAAAAGAGATATTTTGTATATATATATATATATATATATATATATATATATATATATATATATATATATATATATATATATATATATATATATATATATATATATATATATATATATATATATACTATGAGAACTTTGAAAAGTGTTACTAGAGTCTAGTGTTTACCAATATCTTCATTGTTCTCAATCTGGATCAAACTCTCAGATGTTCGTGTGTTTGTTTCTACGGGCAAGCTTAATCCTACATTAACATGCGCAGTCTCGACTTTACCATCTTGTGTCTTCTTGTCAAATACACCCGTTCCTAATAGATTCGATTCTTGTAATGTATCGCTTTGGTTCATAAAATCGGAGGTAATACCATTATTGGGTTCATCAGTTATGGGTATCGAATCCCTTATAAGATCAGATTCGATGGTAGCTGGAGTATCGTTCTTCAACAGGTACCCGACTGTTGAATTTTTGTCAGCATCAGTAAGGTCTAATGTCGAGTACCCCGTTATACCCTGTTCAGTATAATCAGAGTAGTCTTCTAATGCGTCGCGTTTTCTCTTTCTCTGTCCTGTACCATTATTGGGTAGTGGAGAAGTAATCGGTAAAGGAGGTTCTGTTTTTGTAGTATCAGGTACAGTGGGTTGTTTAGCTTCGGTAGTTGTTGCTTCGGCGGCTGTCGTTTCGGTAGTTGTCGTTTCGGCGGCCGTCGCTTCGGTGGTGGTTGTAGTTTCTGAATCTGTCACGGGCTCGACGGGTTGCTTGCCTACCGTTGTTTTCATCGTCGTCTGATCAGTCGCAATGCCGTCGTTTCTCTCCGTGGTTGCGACGTTGACTTGCCCGCCCCCAGGCTTCCCCGGATGTACTGTGGTTGTGATTGTATCAATACGGCTCACTTTCGTCGTCGGCTTTTTCGTCGTCGTCGATGCCGGCGTATTTTCCCGGTAGTCGGCGGTGTTGTCGATCTTGGTGACGGTGACTCTGAGTTTAGTAATACAGGACGCCCCTTGCCCGTGGAATTCGAGGGTCTTATTCTTAGCTTTCTCTTCAAGAGAGTGCGACGTACGCACACAAATAGTGCACACGATGCACACCAAAACTTGGTGTATATTCTTCATTATTCGTGTTCTACACTAGATCAACTCTTACTGCGGTTATCGCTGGTGTATATGTATTCAATTTCTCGACATTGTAGAATTCCCTACCTGAAATATAATGATCATTCAATGCCGAAATATATTTAATGTAAATGTTTAGTTCAGCTGAAATTTGAATGTTAAAATAATACTGCTGACCAAAGTCTTTCATGTATATGTAGACACTCCATCACAATACTTTATAATTGTATTATTACACAGATGTAATTTTAAAAATGCTTTACTATAAAGACAAACGTTGATTATTATGTAGATAAATCTGGACGCTGATCTAGATACAAGTTTATAATTTTTAATATATTTAGCAAGGAAAGTTAAACAACTTTAGATCGAGTAAGAAAAGAATAATCTGTTTAGGAAAGTATTCACCAAACCATTAACTAGACAAAATAACATTTTACGCACCCGAGTATAACACAACAAACCAGCTAATCACAAAGCTAAGCTAAAAAAAAACAACAATGTTACAAGTTTGCTTGTATGTATCAAAATATTCTACTAACCTAACTCATCAATGCGTTTTTTTTTAAAGAAACGATTTTATACACAGCGTTGAAACGTATTTTGATACAATACTAAACTTTGAAGGTGAAAACCTTCCTTTTCTTAGTGCACAAGTTTACCCAACGGGAATTACCGATCCTGTAATAGATTGTACGAGGTTTTCTTCTTTGTTCTTAAATTGTTATGTTGGGTTGGATTTCCTTCAAGACAATTGAGGTTAACGTATTTTTAATGCGCCATATGGGCCATTGATTCCGTTTTTAGGCAGCTTTTCTTTCTGGGTTTGTTTTTATTGCCTTTGATCATACAAGAACAAACTACAAGGCAATACATGTTTGCTTTTGGAATTTTCTCTCCTAGATTGGTTTCTGTCTTCAGATATCGAGCCTCATCTACCGGGAGGGGGAATGATGGGGGGGGGGGGGGGTGGTGGAACTTAAGACGGACTTTAAAGTTTAGCAACAATGAGCTTTACCGACCCAACCACGCCGATTCCTATTGTACAATATAATTCAACTTATTTTATCGACCTTTTTTTTCAATCTCAATTTGGATAACTAAATTTTTACTCAAGGTTAGAAGGGTATTTAAACTTGAGATATTAAGTTAAGTTTCTAAAGAAAGAGTGGAGAAACCAAAGAGAGGTGTGTGTGGGGGGGGGGGGTGTAAAGTTGTATTGGACAGTGTCTCGACATGCCGGGTTAATTGTTGTCTTGGTTGCCTAAGAAATTTGGCCTTGAACACTTACTGAATAGTAGAGCGTATTGTGTAGCCTTCTTTTTTACTTCGTGTTTGTTTCATGGAAGTGATTTCCTTCAACATAATTCAGTATTACTTATCAAATTTTGATATGCTATATAAGCCAAGAACTGCGATTTCTGCCTGCTTAACTTTCTGGATTTGCTTTCATAGCCTTTGTCAAAACAAGGACACACAAGGCAGCAGTTGTCTGATTTTGAAGCCGTCTCTCCTAGTTGGGTTGCTGCACCAAGCTATCTAGCCTCATAAAATGTGGGTTTGAACTCGGGTCTTTCAGTTTAGAGTTTACCGACCCGACCAAGCCAATCCCTTACACTAAAGTTATTGCATGCATATAAATATCGATTAAGTCCTTAATAGAACTGCATACATTTACAAATATATTTTATGTCATGAAATATGTTAAGGTATTGTAATGCATTATTATTTACTCTCTACTTTCTCGTCTAAAACGTTTACAGGCCGAACCTTTGAAACCTCGATAGATCTACGAGCTTAAAATCAATAATGTTTAAAAAAAAAAAATTATATGCTTAGAACTTTATGTAAATTAATTGATTAGCTTAACCATGTGTAATTTCAATGCATTTCAGTGCGATTTTACAATAACTACTCATTTATTATAGCTTAGGAAACTGTCTTAATAAAATGAACCGCCAATTCCATAAAAATAATGTTCGTTTTTCAGTGTGATACCAGATTTTCTCTCAAAACAGTTAAAGAAAATTGACTTAGTGAGTCAGAGAGTCACTTTTGCATGTTTGACCATGGGATGATGGTGCTAAATCTTGGAATAAAGCACCCCCCTCCGTCTCCCCCAATTACCACCACCACAACCATCTCGTCCGAATAGTAGTACGCTATATTAACAATTTTAGTAAAAAACAAATGTTTTTTTTTACATAAAAACGATACAATTATTTCTTTTGTGAGTTTGTAGTTAAGAATGAACACACTAATAATTTTTTTACACAAAATTTATACAGGTAATACACATGCATTTTTCTATTATGAGTTTGTAGTTTTGACTGATCAGCTCCGTATTCTAACACACTAATACGATACTTTTTTTTATACACAAAAGCTTTGTAGGCAATACACATTTTTTATATTGTGAGTTTTTAGTTAACAATGATCAGCTACATATTATTCTAACACACAAATACAATACTAATCTTTTTTGCACAAAATCTATACAGGCAGTACACATTAATTATATTATGAGTTTGTAGTTTTTAGACTGATCAGCTCCATATTCTAACACACTAATACACTTCCCAGTGTCCCGTAATTAGACCGTAGCACGGCGGTTAGACTGCCACCCCATGCTACAATAAAACCCACCCCGTCCCATACCGTAACCAAATGTCGCTGTTATCGATTGGACCCGCGTCTCTGGTTAAGGCTGGCTTGGCTTTTGTGTTACCTGTTACAGAAACTCGGCATTGGATATTTCCTAGAAGGTAAACTGAAACTAAACTGAAACTAAATCAGAACAACTGCATTCGTTTCTTCGAGTACAAGATTCAGGTATTTTGTTTTATTTTTTATTTTTTTCTATTACTTCTAGTTAAACATTGAGTACACAGGAAGAGGTAAATGAACTGTGAATTACATTTCATTACACGTTTGTTGTTTGAAGGATTTTGTTAGTGTTTGTGAAACGTGTGTTGCAAGCACACTGTTGTGTTGTAACATTGCCAAGAAAAAGTTAATGTGTCGCGTTTTTAAATATAATGCAATATGCTTTTAAAGGAAATGTATAAGTTAAGCAAATACATATATTGATATATAAGCCTGCATGTATTCATGTTTTGTTAATATCTACGTACTGTACAATTATTCCTACATTTAAATAAATAGCATGTATGAATATATGCATTATATATATACATACATATATATATATATATATATATATATATATATATATATATATATATATATATATATATATATATATATATATATATTTATATACATATATATGTCATGTGGATTTCGGTTTCAAAATGGCAGTAATACAATTTATTGTACCCTATCCCCTGTTGTAAATTGTAACACATTCCTTTGTTCAAAGGTTAAGGGGACCAAAGTTTAAGATTCCAATACAAAAAAAAAAAACAACCCCGCACAATGTGTTTTTTTAAAGATAGTGTACAGAAATGAAACGACGGGTTGTTTTATAATGACAAACGTGCACTTAAGGTTTTAACAAGTTTTTTTTTTTAAGATATGATCTATTGACTTAAGTATAGCATACACACTCATGCACACACGTACACGTACACACACACACTTACACAAACATACACACTTCTAAAAAAAACACACGCATGCACATACAAAACTACACAACGACACACACACACACACTTCTTCCACTCTACACGTATATTTGAGTAATTAACACAGGTGTTAAGTCAAACATTTTAATTCTGGAATTGTGTGTAGACGTTGTTTTTTTAAATGTATATATTTTTGGGTTTAAATGTCCTTACATCTCTTATTCAATTTTTATGGGGTTCGGAGTTGGGTTATCCATAGCAAATTTATAAAAATATTTTTAGTATGCTAAACATTTCCTATTTTTGTAAACTAACAAGGGAGTGTGCATCCAGGTCATTTCGCGCATTGGCCGGCCAATGAACGAAATATGTTGTCAACCTTAAGCTATTCTGACATTGGCTAATTGAGCCGGCCAATACGTACAGCCTAATGGGGATTTGGCGTTAATATTATATATATATATATATATAAATATAAATAAATAAATATATATATATATATATATATATATATATATATATATATATATATATATATATATATATATATATATATATATATATATATATATATATATATATATATATATATATATATATATATATATATATATAAAATGAAACCATGCATATATTTGCAGGACAGACGCTTATTCGATTACAGGTATTTAATTTCCCATCAGCCTTAAGATGTCTCTCCCGGAAGGAGCCAGTGCTGGGACTGTTCTGGCTGTGCTGATGCTGTTTGTTGGCTCTCTGCTACACATCATTGGGCTGTCCACGACAGAGTGGTCAGTGAGTAACAACGAACAGGGTTCGTCCAGCTCTGGACTGTGGAAAGAATGTTTGAACGGGAAATGTGAAGACCGCAAGGACACGAAAGGTAAATCGTGGTCATTGTCTTTATCTTTTCCCATTCGTGCTCAACACATGGCAGTGGCGTAGCCAGGATCGTCTCAAGGGGGGTTCCAATTTTTACCCGTGGACAAGCTTTCGATTTGCACCCCCCCCCCTCCCCTCAGACTTTTGATTTGCACCCTCCCCTCATACTTTATATATATACCCCCCCTGCCTACGCCACTGACACATAGGACAGATGAAGTAGAGCTCATATCTTTCAGTGATCTCTGTATATAAACAGATAGCGCGTTCAGCAGTATGCCCAGCCGACTTTGCTTTCCCTAACAATAGCTAGGTACCTTGGGTGGACTCAATATACTGACTTGAAAAAGGAATTGAACTCGAGACTTTCAGGTTAGCTAAGCCACACCTTCCCCTATTTGTTATGTGTAAAAGTACCGCTTTCTTAAACAAAGTCCGCAGGGTTAATTTCAGACATTTTCTCCAAGGAAATTATGCACTTGAAACTTTTCTTGTGACCACATTGGTAAATGCATAAATTTATATTAAGAATCAAACAGTTTTTCTCTTTCGAGTGGTCGAGTTGGTAACAGTATTCCCCACTACAGTTACCTGAAAGAAACACTGAAAGCACCATACGTTTAATTGTGTCCTTTATTAAATTAAACACCACAACACTATTGTATTGCTCTGAACATCAACATATTCGTATCAATAAAATCATATCAACATAGTCATAACTAAAAAAATTAATATCGATGTATTCATATCACCAAAATCATATCAATCTATTTAATAAAATTAAACCAACTTATTTATAGAGATTTAAACTAAATTAATCAAAGTCATATCAAGAAAATCACTTGACATTATTCATATAAAATAAATCACCGCGTGTGATAACCCATAATTGTAGGAAAAAAGTCACAGGAAAGAAAGTCAAATGAAAAAAGTCACAGGAAAAATGTCACACATGTGTATTTGCATGGAGTATGTTAATAGTTTTATGTATTAAGCATTCCGAAAATACTAACCGACATACGGTTAATTAAATGTAATGTAGGCCTAATCATTTTAGATAATTATCTATATGTTGTAAATCTACGTGTATGGTGTTATTTATGTGTGACGTAAACATATTTAGTCTGAAATATGTTTGTTTTAATTCCGATATAAATATGTAATATAATCAAGTAGAATGTAAAATAATGTTCCAATCTACTCAGCTTTCATCAGATTTGTTTTAAATACAAATTTCGAATTAGCCTGAAATGGAAACAGAGTTAATATGCCCCGATCCGATGCGATACAAAAGCAATCGTCATTAGTGCACAGTGTTCACAGACAAGGCCGCATTTTTTTTTAAATCTATTTTTTAATTAATTTTTGTTTTGGGTAGGCTATTCAGTTGTGTAACAAAATTTTAAAGGCTATAGTGTAAATTATGTTATAGCACGTTAACATTATATTAAAAAGATATGAGTATGATTATTATTATCATCCACAATGCTTTTAAAGTCTGTAAGTCTAAAAATTCACCACTCATATTTATAAAATACCCAACATTTTACAATTCTCAATAATTATCAGAAACCAAAAAATATTTTTTAATACACATTTTTACTTTATTTCTGTGACATTTTTCAGAATTTTTGTCCCCTTTGTGACTTTCTTTCTATGATTATTTTTCCCATTTCTATTTACCGCCAGAGTCTCTTCCAAGCATCTCTTCGGGAGTGGGAGGGGGGGGGGGGGGGTGGGGTGTGCGAAGAAAGAAATGAAATTTATACAGAAAGTATATACTTACAACAGAGTCCGCCCCCAACCTCCGAAGAAAGTCTACCGCCCCCCCCCCCCCCCGAAAATTTCAAGTGCCCCTCCCCCCCCCCCCCGGAGAAAAAAGTCTGGAAGAAACACTGTTTACCGCTCGCCTTATCCACACTAGTTTTGACGCTCAGGTTATAAATAACTCGTGATCTTGTCCACAGAGAGCATAAGGACATGCGGGGCCATGGCCATACTTGGGATGTTGGTCAGCTTTGTGGCCATCGGATTGGCTGTAGCGGACATCTATATTAGGGTCAGGGGAAGTGTATCTTCGTTGCCGTTGCCTATCATTTCAGCGGCCTGTTCCGCAATTTCATGTAAGTTTGCTAGCATGCATATTTGCGTACACACATGCAAATCAAACATATATATATATATATATGTATATATATATATATATATATATATATATATATATATATATATATATATATATATATATATATATAACTACAGTATATATATATATATATATATACTGTAGTTATATATATATATATATATATATATATATATATATATATATATATATATATATATATATATATACATCTTTTTGTATCGTATTTGTATTGTTTTCGTTTACACAATTTACTTAATAGGCCTATATGTGTTTTTGTTATGAATATACACAAAAAACATATTTCTTGTATTACAGTTGTGTTTATTGTGGTCTGCATCATCATCTGGTCCGCCACCATTGGCTCGTCCACCTACCAGTACACCTACACCGACTACACCATCCGCGTCAGCAGCTACTACCACTACAGCTTCAGCATCGGGTTCTCCTTCATCCTCAGCATCCTTGGCGGTATCATCATCGTCTCGGGTGGGGGGGTTTATCTTTACACGAGCAGGTTTATATCCAAGTCAGCTGATGTCGGAACTAGATTTACATAAATATCTAGTATTGGTTACCGTCAGTTAGTTAAACTTGTACACATTGTTAATCACATAACTGACTGAAAGTACATATATAGATCAATGATATGGGAATTAACAATTTATAAAATATAATAAAAACTAATAGTGTGTTTTTTGTGAAATAATATTAAGTATTATGTTTAAATAATTCAGTCTAAATTGTTTTATTAAATAATATTTTATTTTGTATGTACGTTTTATCATTTAATCTGATTTTACTTTGGTAAGATAATACATGCATACTCTATTACATATGTATTATGTCACATTTGTTCTGAGTTATTAGGTAAAATAATACATCTGTACTCTTTTATCCAATACTCATTAAAATTGGTTTGTAATAAAATAATTCATTTTAAATACATGATTTAACCCGTTTTCTTTTTGGCCAACTATTTTCTCAATCATTTTTTAATTTTTTTAGTTGAAAAGTACCCTAGATAGACTAGAAAACTTTGTAAACATGTAACAGAGCTACAACAGTATACAATTTAATTATCGGAATACAAAGTAAATCCATATAGCTTTCTTCTTTTTTCTCTATCCTGCCCAAGATTCATGGGACAGAGGAAGTAGATTTCATATGTTTTAGTTAGCTCGGCATGTAAGGGGATAGTGTGGTCAGCGTTATGCCCAGCCGCCTTTATATTCCTAACGTGAGTTAGGTACTTATCAGAGTTTACTGGACTCAGAGAGTTTTACTTTCTTGCACTCGAATTTAAACTGGAGCACTCAACCACTAGGCCTTTCGTTACATTAAGTTTTAGTTGTATTTCTAAACAACGAAAAAAGCAGTCATCAAAATAATTTGAAAAAATTACGAGTACTGCCAATCCCAGTAGATACCTGGCATAAGGCTGATTCCATACTTAAATAAACCGGGAGTGATCTCCCCTAGGCTTTCTCGAATATTCTTATATAACTTGGAATATAGACATGATTGTTAATTACTTAAACTTTTAAAAATAGAATAGAATCTCATAGAAAAAAGAATTGCGCTCCAAGCGAACGCCAAAACAAAATGTGCATAATAGTGCGCAATATTATTTGTACTTTATAAATTTACATGCGTTTTTTGAGAAATCGGAAATAGCGTAAATTAGTACTTCCAGTCAACGGAAATTACACAAAATTAGAAAGAAGGTAGAAAATTAGATCTTATACTTACATGTGAAATTTCATTGATCTATCTGAAATAGTACTCAAGTTGTAGGCTTTTGAAAAATTCAAAGTAGAAAAAGTACCACTTCCGGTTATCGGAAATCGCTCAAAAGTTGAAACGGATCTACGATTTTGATACAATACTTATATATGAAATTTCAGCAACCTAGCTTTAACGGTACTCAAGTAATCGTGTTTAGACACAGACAGACAGACACACAGACATACGGACAATTATGTTTTTCCGTATCAGTGAGGTGTAAAAGGTCGAGATTTGTAAAAATCTCGATTTTTTTTTGCACGATTACAATACTTTCTCTATACTTCGTATATACGAGAAAGTAAAAATGGCAAGATTTAATAAACTTAGCAAAATTAACTGTCATCAATTTTAATTTTATAAAATGACGAAAATATTTTAAAATATTACGCTCTAATATTTACCACAACCTTAACCCAAGTAAACTGTAATACAATTCATTATAAACATGTGACTTTTTTATATTTTATGTACATATATTACCGCCATCCTCCCGCGAACAGCAGATATCGCTATGTAAGAATTGAAGCGAATTTTTGCCTTTTGCAAGCCACTTCGTCGCAATGCGCCAAGCAATTGTATTGCCATGAGTTAAAGATAAACATGCGTAAGCCAGTGGTAATATTTCCTATTATTAATTCGAAATTCTGAAACAATAAAAGCAAGTCTAAATCAAAGCATAAGTAATGAGATTTAGCATTCTTGATACCGTCATATTCTTGATGATAACCATTCTGAAAACTGAATTGAAAAACGACTCAACAATCTCATTGTGCTTAAAACAGTGGCGTAGGCGGGGGGGCGGGTTAGGGGGGTCATAACCCCCCCCCCCCCCCCCATAGACCCCTCGCTCGGTATATATATAAAAAGTATGAGGGGGGAGTGCAAATCGAAAGTTTGAGGGGGGGGGGGTGCAAATTGAAAGTTTGAGGGGGGTGCAAATGGAAAGTTTGAGGGGGGGGGGGGGGGAGGGTGCAAATTGAAAGTTTGAGAGGGGGTGCAAATCGAAAGTTTGTCCCCGGGTAAAAATTGGAACCCCCCCACCCTTGAGACGATCCTGGCTACGCCACTGGCTTAAAATATTTCTAAAAGTATAACTTTTCTGTTATCAACATTGCATTTCAATTGAATGTCTTCTAATCTTGAGGTATTTAGAAAGTAAAACTTAATGAGAAGGATATCACGACTACATAAACATATTAAGATGTAAGTGAATACATTTTGGGGTGTTTATAGATTTGAGTAGCTACATAGCTCCACATTGTATGGCCCAGGACATAGTACTTAATTGTAGTGAAAATTGGAGATCGCTGTGGTCGGGTCAGTTAAAGCTCAATGTTGCTTAACCAACAAGTCCCGAGTTCGAACCCCGGGGTAAATTAGACTCCAGATAGCTGGTGACAGCTACTCATCTAAGAGAGACAACTCCAAAATCAAACAACTGCTGCCTTGTAGTTTGTTCTTGGTTAGACAAACGCTGTGAAAGTAAATATTAAAAAAAATATGTTTAACACTAGATTTAAGAACGAAGAAGAAAGTTTGTGGCAAAAGTCCGTTTTAAGTTTGACTTAGGAACAATCCGATCCTAGATCCAAATGACAAGATATTAGGTCGGTCACATTACACTCCAGTGATTATCGAAATTCGATTGAAAATAGCTATATGCTTTTTAAAAAAAAATTATGAACTCGGAATGAAATAGGTCATTGAACACCCATCGATATTACTTAAAGTCAAATACCAGCACGTGGTGCACAATGAATATAACCTGACATATTTGACTTCCGTGTGTGTAGGCCTATGTGTGTGTATGTGTGTGTGTGTATGTGTGTATGTGTGTGTGTGTGTATATGTGTGCAGTGAGTAGGGCGGGTGGAATGCATTTTATTACCTGTTAATACCTCTACCCTGGGTTTGTGTGAACTACTAACCTCGATACGCTGTTTATAACAATAGACAAAATCCCGTTTTGTAATCAACACATTTAATAATTATTCTTTTTACAAGAAATAATATGATTTTTGTCCAGTTTCAAATTGTTTTTGTCAAGATTGTTTTTGTGGTGCTATGTCGACAGAATAAGGGACGGAGTGGCCTAGCGATATAGAGCTGGACACACTAACTCTTAGGTCTCGAATCCGGGTTCAAGTCAGTAGACCGTCCCTGAGTCCACCCAGCTCTGTTTGGTACCTAACTCTCGTTAAGGTAAGTTAAGGCCAAGGCGGCTGGGCATAGTGCTGACCACACTATCTCTTCAAATGCCGATGTCACAGAAACTAGTTAACTCTACTTCACTTTTCTTATAGACCGTCAGGTTTGAAAATGATCTTTACTTTTATGTTGACAGAATAGACAAGCTAGTACCACTACGCGCCACACACACTCAGACAGACATACACATAAAAATTCGATCAAAAAAAAAAACAAGCAAAAAAACATGTGTGTTATTTTTTATTGTAAAAATATTTCTGTCAAATACGTGGCAATCTTATTTACGTCTGCCCTTCTAATAATAGAAACATGGGAGATAATAGTAAATTTTAAAAACTTTATTGAGCTCTAAATTTAAAATCTGTATAATTTTTTTCATAATTTAACATTATATACATTAAAATATGAACTATTTTTATAACTATTATATTCTTTTTGGAATTGAAAAAAACATAGTTTTAAGTTAGAAAGTTTTTATTAAATTAATTTTTATTTAAAAAGTAAAACCAGTACAGTTTTTCTTATTCTTTGAGGTATATAATCACTATCACTTAGCTCCTACTATTCCGATAGCACAGTACACTGTCATATTATACAAAAATGTCCATGTCTCTGTATTTCTTTGTTTATAAAAAAACTACATTTGATTGCTTGATCGACCAGTCATCGTGAAACAGTTTGTTTTTGTTATTAAAATTGTGTAAATATTTCAATTATACAACAGACCAACGCACACACACTTATATATGTTGATGTGCTTGTTTATATTTTAAATTATAAGCAGTGTTTCTTTCTGACTTTTTTCTCCGGGTGTACTTGAAATTTTCGGGGGGGGGGGGGGGGGCGGGTGCCGGTAGACTTTCTTCGGGGGAGGCGGGGTGGACACTGTTAAAAGTATATATTTTCTATATAAACTGTCTCCAACTTGAGTTAATCACCCCCCCCCCCCCCCCGCCCCCACCCCACCACGAAGAGATGCCTGGAAGAAACTCTGATTATAATTATTAAAAAAAACTAAAGCGAACATGATAAGGTAAAAAAAAAAACACATGCTTACATCCAAAGTAGAACTTTCAGTCACATCTTGACTTGACTTACTTGACTTAGTCCTCCTTGCTATTCAAGGAACATATGACTTCCCCCATTTCCTTCCATTTCGTCAGATCCCCAGTGATTAATTTTGCCTTCTCCCAAGACATCCCTGTTGGCTTCAGTTCTTTGAGAAGACTCCGCCTCCAGGTCTGTCTTGGGCGCCCTCTCGTCCGCAGACACAGCTTAGGCAGAGGCGTAGCGAGGGGGGGGGGGGTGCGGACCGCACCGGGTGACACCACTCAGGGGGGTGACACATAGGCAAAAAATAGTAAAATATATAGAGACAAAATTGAGGGGGGGGGGGTGCACATCGAAAGTTCGAAGGGGGGGGGTGCAAATCGAAAGAGTCGCTACGCCCCTGGGGGTGACACCATTAAGTGCCGCACCGGGTGACACCCGACCTCGCTACGCCACTGAGCTTAGGTAAATAAAATGTCATCCGGCCTACATACATAGATGGAGAAAACAAATTGTACCAACAGCAGCGGTTGGTTTGCTTTTAATTTTACTATATTCTTTTAGGATGAGAGCCGGTGAGTAGATCTACCTGACGATGAAACAAATGGCCTTAACCTTTTCAGATTCGACATCAGCATCTCTAGAGGCAGTGGCGAAGCCAGGATCGTCTCAAGGGGGGGGGGGGTTCCAATTTTTACCCGGGGACAAAATTTTGATTTGCACCCCCCCCCCCCCCCTCAAACTATCAATTTGCACCCCCCCCCCCCACATACTTTTTATATATATACCGAGGGGTCTATGTGGGGGGTTATGACCCCCCTAACCCCCTAGCCCCCACCCCCCTGCCTACGTCACTGTCTAGAGTCACGGTCCAAGTAGTTTAATGAAACAT